CCGACCAGGAGGATGGTCTGCAGCCACCACATGCCCAGCTCCATGTGAAGAAGCATCTCTGCCCGGCAGCTGTAACCCAGAGAGTGACCCTGTTTTTATGAGCACTGGGAGGCCCATCATGTGACTGAAGCAGCAGCTACAGAGGAGGCTGGCTGAATGCAGGATTTGGGCGAGGTTGTTCATCGCCACCTCAGTGTCCCCTGTCCAAGTGCCACAGGGCACACACCTACCAGCACATGGACAGTGGCTCCCGCGGCTCCCTGCTGCACAGAGATCTCACTCCCCACCCAGGCACCCAATGGGCCCTACCTGCAACCTCTCCTGGCACCTCCACAAAAGTCAACAGGAAAGGAGAAGCACTGGAATTTATTTTTCTTTGGGGGACCGGGGATTGAACCAGGGGTACTCAACCACTGAATGATATACCCAGCCCTTTTTTATATTTTATTTAGGTCAGAGTCTTGCTAAGTTGCTGAGGCTGGCTTTGAACTCACGATCCTCCTCCCCAGCCTGTGGAGACACTGGGATTATAGGTGTGCACCACCATGCCCAGCTGGAATTTAAATTACTGCCTTGAATATGGCAAATCCAGAAGCATGGGCCAGAAGCAGTGGCACACACCTGTAATCCTAGTGGCTCAGGAGTCTGAGGCAGGAGAGTCACAAGTTCAAAGCCAGCCCCAGCAATGGCAAGGAGCTAAGCAACTCAGTGAGACCCTGTGTCTAAATAAAATACAAAATCAGGCTGGGGATGTGGCTCAGAGATTGAGTCCCCTGACTTCAATCCCTTGTCGCCCCCCCCCCAAAAAAAAGAAACCCAGAAGCACAATCCTGGGGTTGGGGGTAGGCTATGACCTTGCTGTAGAATCCACGTTGACTCAGTGCCTGAGGGTGGCCAGGGCACTGCTCCTGTCCACCTGCCAAGGTCACCAGGCTGGAGACTCTCCATGAACAGGCTTCTCCAGAACCCTCGGTTCTACACATGCAAAGTGGGCCACCGCACTTTCAGATGCGACAGAGCGCATCAGCAACCACTGGACCAAGCCACCCCCAAGACCAGACCACCTCCATCTCCTGCATCCTGCTGGCTTCCTTATCCTTGCACATATACTCCTGGAGGGTTAATAAAACCCTCATTTGTAGCATTTCAGTCTCTCACACAAACCTTCCACAAGTCCTGGGACTTTGGGAACCCTGCATCCCCTGACCCCTCCTTATGGGGATCCTCTCCAATGAACTGAAGCTGTTTCCACCAAAACAGGCAGAGTTGGCAGCATCCCTGTGCCGTCAAATCCTTCCAGACTTAAGCATTTGTCAAAGTTCATTAAATTTATACATTTCAACTAGACCTAGGTGGTAAGAGGCACAGGCTCAGGACCTGAGGCTGAGGCCTGTTCTGAGAGCCGCTTTCTATTCCTGTCCCTTGGAGCTGGTGTCAATACCCTACTGGGGCTCACATCTGCAGCAGAAGCAGACCACAATGGCCAGGAGGCTGGACACTGAGAGGATGCTGCAGAGCAGCACAGGCGCAGCACATGCCTGAATGTACTGAAGACCGTTACCATCCCCTCAAATGCTCGGAGTCCACATGACCTGAGCCACTGAGCAGGCCTTGGGCAGCTGAGCAGGCCCTGGCAGCACGTCCTAGATTGGACGGGCAGTCAGCCAGCACCCCGCTGCCCCACGAGACCCGCACACTTACCCACACATGACTGCTCAGACATACAGGACACCACACGAGCATAAGGCTGCTGCTGCCTGGCCTCCAGGAGGGCGCTTCCCGTGGGCAGCGTAGATCCAGGCCGAGGGTCCTTGAGCACAAGGACTTGGCATGACCAGAGTGCCCCTACAGGTCCATTCCTGGGCTCTGGCAGGAGCCACCATGCCCGTCTCACCTAGCAACACGCAGCCTGGGCCTGGCGTCCTGCAGCCCTGCAGTACCCTTTGGTGGTGTGCCTGGCTGGGCGTCCCGAGAGAGCCCCAGAGCCGAGGCCCCACTCATGAGGCAGCACTCGAGGTCCCAGGGATCACACACAGGC